ATTCAGCTCAAGAAAAACTATTTTTAGAAGTTAACACCTCTTTTCAAGCATTTTTGAGCAGAGAGGGTGCGCTGGTAGGGAAATATAACGGAGCTCACACACTCCTTTTCCAGGAAAACATCTCTGTAATTGCCTGTTTGTGATACTTTTTGCGCATTATTGAAACGAGTTATGCACACGACCCTCTTCATAATTTTGTAACTGACTGCTGATTTATATCTCAAAACTGATATTTAACACCACAATTTAACACGATGCGGTTATCAATATCAAACCAAATTTCAAAAAACCATGTATGCATTGTTATTTTCCTCGGTGGAACTCCAAAGCCGTGAAACCTGTTAATGAAGGCAGGGCAATGCAGAGGTTTTTTGGTGAAAGAGAGGTTTTCCTGTTTAGATCTACAGTAGTTCCCGTGATGGTCTACCGTCTCATCCTGGTGCGGGGGTCACTCTGGGTGTCGAACTACGAAGTACAGCAGAAGTTCATCCTCCAGCAGGGTCTCCCAAGCTGAGAAGGAGTTCGACGTTTCCGGTTTCTCGGATTCCCAGCTAAGAGTAGGCCATGCCAGAAGCACCACCGTCTGGATGATTCAGTCGCTAGGTTGCTCCCTGATCCATATAAGGCCAGCGATTGCCTGTGGTTAAAGTGGCAGAGCCCTGCAAGGCACTGCTAAAGTTCGAGGAAACGTCTTTCACTTACTGCCTGTACAGCATGTAAGAGAAAAAAAAGCAATACACAGGATCACATCTGCGGGGTTGGATTTATCAAGACCAGTGTCAGGTTGCACAGGACGCCTTGGATTTCGGACCAAAAGGACACGTCAACGACTCGCCATGAAGATCTCAAACTTTAGCAATGCCTTGTCAAGGCTTTCATGCTCTGCACCTAACGGCAGGACAGCCTCCACCAACGCCGATTTTCACGTCCTCCTTGAAGCTGCAGGGGGCATCAACTACCCCGTAATCGCCTTGTAGAAAACAAAGTCCAGGAAGACGGACATGAGGCAGCTGAGCGATGGCATGCTCATCATTCGTGGTGAAAAGATTCTATCACGGAAGGTTGGAGGCGTTAGATTTGTCGTCCCATCTGTTGTCCATCTGTCGATTCCCATGAGATCCTATCACCTCGCCTGGCTATTCTTCGACTCCGTCCTCTGCATGAAAAAGCCATCACTATCATCAACTGCTATTCTCCAACATCAGCAGCTGACAATTGGAAGTTGATGCTTTTTATGAGGATTTGGAGGTAGTCATCCGCAAAGAAAACTCCTTCTATAAGTTCGCCGTGGGTGACTCGAATG